CCCACAGCTGGCAAACTCTACAACAACATGCAGTCGCCCAGTCGCCAAGTGGAAGCGAAGGAGCGAGAGGGGAGAGGGGCGATGCGCTCGTATTCTGGGTTGGTGTTTTTCAAGCCTCTCACAACTTGAGAAACAAACAAAAGGGCCTGGCAACGATTCAATCATCAAAATAGTTCTAGAGCTGGTGAAAAGATGGGCACATGCACACAACATGTATACTTTTGCGCTTCTATTTGTGCCTGCCTTCACTGGCTGCAGTAAGGGGGGAAAAATGCGTTGAAAGCGAGGGGTGTGGATGTATTTTTTTGTTTTTTCGCAGCCGGTGAACGCGGCACCATTATGGGCCATTTTTGGTTGTCCACGGCTAAGTTCACCGCAGCATTCACCCTCACATCGCTCTTTCCGCCTGGTCATTGGAGGCGGACGGCGGGGGGGGGGGCGGCGAGAGAACGTGGCTGAAGCTCGAGTCTTTGTCAAAGTCCACGTGTGGATTTGCTTTTGCTTTGAGCTTCGTGTTTTCTCGCCTGCTCGATTTCCGTCCTTTCGCTGCTCCTGCGTCAAACTTGAAGCATTGTCTGGACATGGACTGCGCAATCACACACAATCATCGGCTCAGCGGGCGCTCAGCAGGATCAGGATCACAACCGACTCGCAGTGATCGCTTTCAGCTTGAGATCTTGAGCTCTTTTTTCCCCTTTCCTCCTGGAACTGGACCTTGACCTTGACCTTGACCTTGGCATGCTCATCATGAAATCCTCTTTCTGTTTTAACCTCTGCTTAGGGTCAAGCTCCAGGCTTTCTCCAAGTTCGAGGACATGCCAGAGGCCCTCGCCGCTGCCACCGCCGTCGTTGAAGGCAAGCTCGACAAGAAGCTCAAGAAGTTCCTCGAAAAGTCCATCATCTCCAAGGAGCTCAAGGAGAAGCTCGCCGTCTCCGATCCCAAGCTTGGTGGCATGATCAAGGAGAAGCTCGACATTCAGTGCATCAACAACAACGTTGTCAACGAGCTCATCCGCGGCATCCGCTCCCAGCTCCCCTCGCTCTTCACTGGTAAGCAGACAACGCCAATGCGCGCGTGTTGCACGAGGCGCTTTGATCGTTGTGATCAATTTTTTGGAGTTAGAGGGGAAGGGAGTTTCGCATTTTTTCGGCACAGCAAGCAGACTTTTGTCATTGATGGATTAACTGTTAATATCCACGGAGCCCCACCTTGACGACAATCTTGGTGTCTGGGCATAACCATGACCGACAGAAAAACGTTATTTTGTCACTACCACTGAGACATTTTCTGCTTTCTTTGTTCTTTTTTTTTTCTTTCTTTTTTTTTTTTTGGGCGGGTTTCTCTTTCTCTTTCATGGATGCACATCAGCGTTCGTTGCTTCGTCTGTCTAACCTTTCCCCCTCCTTGTTGTATTTCCCCCTGACCTCAATAGGTGTCCCCGAGCACGAGATGAACGCCATGGCCCTCGGTCTGTCGCACAGCTTGTCCCGCTACAAACTCAAGTTCAGCCCCGACAAGGTCGACACCATGATCGTCCAGGCAATTTGTGAGTGCATTTTTGTCTCTCAGCACCAAAGTGTTGGTGTATTTTCAATTCACTTTCGTCCCTTTCGTCCCTTGCGTCTCTTTCGCCTCGATCGCAGCTCTGCTTGATGATTTGGACAAGGAGCTCAACACCTACTCGATGCGCGTGCGCGAGTGGTACGGCTGGCACTTCCCCGAGATGGGCAAGATTGTCACTGACAACCTCGCCTACGCCCGCACCGTCAAGCTGATGGGTGCCCGCACCAACGCCGACACTGTCGACCTTCTTTCTGTCCTTCCCGAGGAGATTGTCGAGGAAGTCAAGGAGGCTGCTCAGATTTCCATGGGCACTGAAGTGAGTATTTGTTTTGTCGGCCTTTTTTTTTTCCTCTCTCTTTTTCGGATTTTTTCGTCTCACAAATTGTCTCACCTCACGTCTTCTCTCTCGTCCTCTTCCCCCCCCCCTTGTTTTTTGTTCTGCAGATCTCGGATGAGGATATCGAGAACATCACTTACCTCGCTGAGCAGGTTGCTGCCATCTCCGAGTACCGCACCCAGCTGTACGACTACCTCAAGCACCGCATGAACGCCATCGCCCCCAACCTCACGACCATGGTCGGTGAGCTTGTCGGCGCTCGCCTCATCTCGCACGCTGGCTCGCTGCTCTCGCTCGCCAAGCACCCCGCCTCGACCGTTCAAATTCTCGGTGCCGAGAAGGCTCTCTTCCGCGCGCTCAAGACCAAGCACGACACACCCAAGTACGGTTTGATCTACCACGCGTCTCTCGTCGGCCAGGCTGCCCCCAAGCTGAAGGGCAAGATTTCCCGCGTTCTTGCCGCCAAGACCTCGCTCTCCGCGCGTATCGACGCCCTCGGCGACTCCCCCAACGCCGAGATGGGTCTTGAGAACCGCCAGAAGGTTGAGCGGCGATTGCAGCAGCTCGAGGGCAAGGCGACTACCCGTCTTGCTGGCAACTCGAAGACCCCCACCAAGCTCGAAAAGTTTGCCAAGAAGGACACCAAGTCTTACAATGCCGCTTCGGACATGACCCTGACTTCGTCCAAGAAGGCCGAGAAGACCGAAAAGCCAAAGAAGAAGGCCGACAGTGACGACGAGAGCGAAGACGATAGCAAGAAGACCAAATCGAACAAGCGCCGCGCGGAGGACAGCGACGACGATAGCGATGCCGAGTCTGTCAAGACCACCAAGAAGAGCCGAAACGAGGATGGCGATGGTGTTTCTACTGCCAAGGACAAGAAAGAGAAGAAGGAAAAGAAGGAGAAGAAGGAAAAGAAGGAAAAGAAGGAGAAGAAGGACAAGAAGTAAAGCCAACTTTGTTGTCTTTTTTTTCTCTTTTTTTTCCCCTTGTTCCTCTTTGAGGTTACTTCTTTCCCCTTGCTCGACCCATTCTCGCTTCTCTCAAGTCTCTTCTTTTTCGTTTTTCGCTTGTCGGTGGTTATGCATAGCCATGCGTCAGTCGTTCGTTCATTTTGGTTTTTTTTTTTGTTAAGTTCTGTCGAGATTGGACTGCTTTGTTGGATGCGTTGATGGTTTTCTTTTGTTTTGGGCTGGTTTGGAAGGAGCCTTACCTTTTCCTTGATACACCTGTAATACACCCGTCTTAACTGTCCTTGTGAGCCATTGCGTTTGTTCCATTCAAACAGCAGCAACAAAAAACGGCCATCTCCCCATTCAGTTCCATTCATTTTCCGTCCCCGCCCCCCTTAACTCTCTCGTTCGATCTATTTTCTCATCGTTCTCAGACTTGCACTCGGAACTTGCCAAAAGTCTACCACAGTCCAGTCTTACTTCAAACCTACTCCAATAACACACAAATGCCTCGCAGCAAGCGCTTGTCGTGCGGTGTCCAAGCACAAACCAACCCCGAGACGGGCATCAACGCCCTCCTCGACGTCGCCATGACCACTGGCTTTGACTTTATTGTCGTCCCTCTCGCCCATCCCCTCCGTGCACTGCGCAATCCCGCTGCGAAGGGCGATGCCGCATTCGCACGCGCCGACCTCGATCTCTACTCTGGCGGTAAGTCCCTTCCCTTCCCTTGCGCGCGCGTCTCCCTCGCTCTCTCTCTTTCTGTTGAGTGATGTCGACACGGACCACCCTGATCCAACTCTACGGACGGGTTGACGGTCGGAGTGGCGATGCGTTGCATGGTTTTGGCTGAAGACACACATGGCTTTTTCTTTTTCTTCGAATCTGTCCAGCACATGCGTCCTTGAATGCAACTCACGTTCATCACTACTGCATCTGCCATGGTGACTCTATGTCATGTGATTGGGATCAATACCCCCACACAAAACTTTAGATTGGAGCTCGTCGGTCGTCGGCCAAATCTCGTCCACCGTGCAAACCCAGCTCGACTCTGCAGACCCTGCCGAGCGCATCAAGGCTCAAGAGGTGAGATTTTTTTGTTGTCGTCGTCTTTGCAGGTGTTGGTTGTAGGGATGACGTAAATATCTGCAGACCGCCGCCGATCAGAGTTCTCCGAGCATCACTGAGGAAACTCGCTTCACGTTACTTCATCCAGGCTGACTGACTGTTGATCTGCCGGATTGTTTCATCGCCTGTACAGATGTTCGAGCAAGATACCGCTTGGGCGTCGCACATCTCCCTGCCAGCGGTCGTTCTGCCTCTGACCGTAGCACCTGTGGCGGCTGACGCAAAGGCCCCGAGGTCGATTGCCAACTTGGCGCGAGTCCTGTCCAACTTTTTGAACTCGACGTTGTCGATGACCGTGTGGGTGCGTGTGACTGCCACTCCGATGGCCGGCGAGCCCAGCAGCACTGAGGCGAACGCGCCAGTCACCACCCGCGCACAGGACTCTTGGGAGTTGTGGAACACGCTTCGTACGCTGTGCGGTTACAATGGCCGCCTTGCAGTCGCCCTCGAGCTTCCCGACAACCTCCCTTCGCCACAATCGCTTGCTCGCTGGAAGGGCGAGCCCGTCAAGGGCCTCTTCTGCCTGTCGAGCAGCTTCCTCACCAACAACAAGGGCTTCCCGGTCCTCTCAAAGCGACACCAGTTGGTCGTGCGCGAGTTCTTGGAATTCGGCACCCAGGTTGTGGTCGATTGCGGCTCCAACCAGTTCATCTCACCCCCGGATGCCAAGGCCGCCGCTTCTGCTGCTGCTCAGGCCTCGCCGTCTGGCAAGGGCAAGGGCAAGGGCAAGGCAGCTCAGTTTGTCGACAACACGACGACTCCCACAACCATTTATGAAAACCATCTGCAGTACATTGGTCACCTGTTTGACACCTTGCCGGCCCTGGACGAGGCCACCCGTGCCTCGAGCTCGTTTGAAGACAGTCTTCAAGCTCCGCTTCAACCGCTGATGGACAATCTCGAATCCGCCACATACGAAGTTTTCGAGCGCGACCCCGTCAAGTATGCTCAGTATGGCCGTGCTGTCGAGCTGGCTCTTGAGGATCGTGTGCCCGAAAGCGAGCGCGCTACCCGTGAGACTGTGATTATGGTCGTCGGTGCCGGCCGTGGTCCGCTGGTGCAGGCCGCCCTCGAGGCCGCCGAGCGCGCAAACTGCAAAGTCAAGGTCTACGCCGTCGAGAAAAATCCCAATGCTGTCGCCACGTAGGTCTAACTTCTGGGGATGGTTTTGACGGCGTTTCTCAAAATGCTGCTGGGTTTTAACTTGCACAAACAAATCTGTGTGTCTGTTCTGAATCTTGGGGGGGGGGTAGACTGCTGGTGCGCAAGAATGAGGAATGGCTCGACTCGGTGGAGATTATCGAGAGTGATATGCGCGCCTGGAACCCGCCTGCATTGGTGAGGGTTTGATCCATGCTCTATTCGGCGTGTTTTTCATCACACCAGCCCCCCCATATGTCCCTCTGACTTTGCGCTTGCGTGTCTCCAGGCTGATATTTTGGTTAGTGAGCTTCTTGGTTCCTTTGGCGACAACGAGCTTTCTCCCGAGTGCCTGGATGGCGCTCAGCGTCTGCTCAAGCGTAAGTTGCTGCTCCTTACTTGTAAAACGACCACAAAAAAGTCCAAGCATCCACAACTGACTGACTTGTCTGGTGTTTGGAATCGGCAGCTGATGGTGTTAGCATTCCTTCCAAGTACACAAGCTACCTGGCTCCTCTGTCATCGCAAAAGCTCTACATTGAAGTCCGAAACCAGTACGTGCACTTTTCACCCCCGGACGAGCGCAAGGCATTCGAGACGCCATACGTGGTTTTGCTCAAGAACGCCGCCATCACCAATCCGCCCGTCCCCGTGTTCACCTTTGAGCACCCCAACCGTGGTGAGTAGTTTATTGGACGGATTGGTTTTGGCGTGTTGGTTTTTTTGTGCTTTGGTTTGACTTTGAATGGGGGTTGCCTTCAAAAACATTGTTTCTCTGTGTGCAGCCGCCAAGATCGACAACTCCCGCTACACTTCAGTCACGTTCACTGCTCCCCACAACACTACGCTTCACGGGTTTGCCGGCTATTTCGACACTGTTCTTTACAAGGATGTCATGTTGAGTATGTCTAGCTGCGCCGACACCAATCGTGTGCGATTTTGCCATGATTCTCATGCTTGATGACTGCGTTGTTTTTCCTCTTGCAGGCATAGTGCCCGACACCTTCTCCACTGGCATGTTCAGCTGGTTCCCAATTCTGTTCCCATTCAAGGTATTGTTTTTTTCCTGTTCGGTGACTATTCTTGCAGTTTTGCTCAAGTGTTTGTTTTGCCTGGTCTTTGCTCTCTCCCTCCCCGCTTTAGCAACCCGTCTCTGTGAAGGCTGACGAGACCATCGAGATCCATGTCTGGCGCAACTGCACTCGCGAGAAGGTCTGGTATGAGTGGACTTGCACTTCGCCCATTTCCCTGCCCATCCACAATCCTGGTGGCCGCTCCTACTACATTGGCCTTTAAGACCCGACAAGTTGATCAGTTTCCAGCGAGCGTCGCTGGCCTTTGTGCAATTGGTTGCGTTTCACCATGCTTTTGTGTGTTTTTCGTTTCGAATGCAAGCTACAATATACAAAATCATGTCGACACAAGTGCGCTATTGAGAACGGAGGAGATCGTGCTTGCACATGGGGCAAGTTCTGCTGGTTTCGAGCCACAGACCGATGCAGCGTCGATGGTAGCAGTGGCGGCAGTCGAGGAGCACGACGGGGCTGCCAAAAACAAATGCCTCCAAGCAAATCACACAAACATCACACCCAGGCACCACCTTGGCTGGAGGGAATGGTTGTTCGACAAGGCGAGCAGTGATGCGACGGAGGTCTTCTGCCGAAGTAGCGTGAGCGGAGGATTTAAACCGGAGCAAGTAGATTGTCAACGACACGGCCGCAAACACAATGGATGTCAGCGGCAATGCGACATAGGAGAGCCGGATGAGAAACGCCGAGACTCGTAGGGGAGGCCGGGCGTTGATTTCAACACGCAAGGGAGTATTTGTCGAGTGCAACGTGATGAGCGACTGGAGCACATTGCCACTGTCTGCCGTGATGAAAATGGATGGAATGCCAATGGACTGCGGGCTACGCTTGGCTGTGACCTGCGACTGAGTGTCGCCAGAGCTCGGTACGAGCATTTCCAGGGCGGCAATCCGCTGAAACTGCAGCAGAATCGCGTCCACCGTGTTTTCAGGCTGCATGAGGAGAAGCCCTTCCGAAGGGTTGTCATTGTACACAATCACCGAGCTGGCACCTGCTGCTTCCGCATTTGCAATCTAGATAAAAAAGCCAACAGCCACAGACAAGATCCAGTCAGGTCGGGGCAAAACAACAAGCAAACGCATTTTGAAAAACGATTTGCGACCGCACACACACACACACACAGTACCTTGGTCATAAAGGAGCAGTCGCCTCTTCGCACTAAAGCAACCCAACCAGAGTTTTCCATGGCGCGCTGCGGTGGCGCGAGGGGCTGGCACGCATGATCCGGCACGACCGGCACGAGCTCGCCCACGATCGGTCTGCCTTCCGCAAGCGGCGCGCCGAATCCAGCCGTCATACCCTCTGCGCACATGTGCAGCGGACTGTTCTGCAAAGTGACGCATGCTGTTGCACGCATTGGCGCAGGCAGCTGGCTGTACGGTTTGATCGACTGGGTGAGGAAGGATGAACGCCACGCGGATTTGGCAGCCGCTTCGGCTTCTTTGGCTTGGCTCCTTTTGGCTTGTTGCTGGGCTGCAGTGATTGTCGCCGGACACTGCAGCGCTACATCGAATGGCGAGTACTGCAATGTGCTTGGACTGCTTGGTGCGTCCTCATGGTAGTGGTGGTAGTTGTGGTGGTAGTGGTAGTAGTTGTTGCGCTTGACATTGGGGCAAAAGGGCAATTCGAACTTTTCGGCAACAACGCCGTCCACGTCGTCGTCCAGCCAGGACTGAAGCAGGCGACGGCGGGTGTGCGCCAATGGATCGGCGTACACGAAGCATGCCACCAGCAGCACGACGGCGACCAGCGGCAGGCGCTCATACACCTCCCGCACCAAGCCGTGTCGCGGCGATTGGCGCCTGGCAGTGTTGTTGTTGAGCAAGGGGTCGTCCCCACTTGCTGCTCCATAGCCACTGCCGCGCTCGAATGCCTCGTACTCCTCCATCTGCAACTGTCGCGCCAGGGCAAGCGACGCGGCTTCCAGCGACATGTCCACCACCACCGGCGACGGTGCGCGTGGAATTTCAGCGTTGATCGAATTTTCAATGGAATTGCTGCGAGTGCTGTTTGTGTCGCTGCTTTCGCTGGCTTCGTCGACTCGGCCAACGTCGTCGCTGTCATCACCATCATCATCGTCATCATCTTCGCTCAGTAGCAATAATTCGCCAATGGCGGCGGCAATGTTGTGCACGCGGCGACGCTGCTGGGATGGATGGTGACGGCGAGTCATGGCTGCTGTCGCGACGCTGGTTTGCCAGGCCGCAGCAGCAGACGACGACGACGACGACAATGACGACGGCTCTACACTGGGCCTGTGCGCAACAAACTCTATCTGCGGTGGCAATGCGACCGGCATTTTTTATCGCATTTACAAAAAGTTCAAAAAACAAAACAAAAAAAAAAACGAGTGGAAAAGAAAAACGCTCAACCAAGAGCGAAACGCAACGGTACCGAAATGGCTTTCGCTTCGTTATAAGATGGTATCGATGTATTTTGTTTTTGTTACAACACCAACCAAAAAGTCGAATCCCGTTATTATTTTTCAGTCTTTTTTTTTTTTTTTTTTTTCTTCCCAATTCTGATTTCTTGATCTCCGATCGCACCTTGCTCATCGTTTTCCCTTCTCTGCCTTCCCGCTCACTTTTGCGACGTAACTACAAACACAAGCATGCTGGGCTCGCAACGCAAGCGGAAGGCGTCGTCGTCCACCAGGTTTGTGTTGTTGTTCTTGATCTCTATTGAAAAAAAGTCGAATAATTTTTCAAAATCACCCTTCAATCATGAGTCAATCATTTGAGCTGTTCAATAGGGGTTGGGGTTTTTTGTGATCATGGTTTGCGTCCTTTTGCTTTGTGATCGCAGTGAATGTCCCTTTGCTTTGCCTTTGGCTTTGCTTTGACTTTGCTTTCGCTTTTTTTTTTTTTTTTTTTTTTTGGCGGAAAAACCATTGTGTTGTATTGACGCTATTCTCTGCTCTGCTTCACGCTTGTTTGTTTCCTTTCGTCATGCCAACTCGTGTCAAACTCTGTGTCATGATCACGAAAATGCGCGCGGGGTGGTGGTGGTGGGAACAGTCATCCAGGCAGCCAGGGCGCGGCGGCGGACGAGCAGGCACGGTCGCGACTTCGCTTGGGCGACTCGAGCGACGAGGAGGACACGTCGGACCAGGAAGCCATGCAGGTCACAGAACCCGCCGCAGTCCCAGGGGCAAGCAACGGCGGACGAGGCCGTGGACGAGGACGAGGGCGGATTGTCAAGAAAACCCAATCCTACCGCGATTCGCACAACGCCATTGAGAAGCGCAGGCGAGATCGCATCAATGCAAGCCTCAGAGCGCTGGCTAGACTCGTGCCAGAGTGTGCCCTGTTGGAATCGGCGAGCTCGGACAAGGGCAAGCTGGACAAGGCAGACATTCTACAATACACGGTTCAGCATCTCGAGCGGCAGCAGCAATCAGGTAAAGTACAAACGATGAGGGATGCATTTCGTGCTGGTTGTCATATGGTCCTATCACGTACAAAAGCGCAGCGCAGAATGGATGGCGTGCCTTCCTCTCCCTTATTCACGGCGTCGGGACCAACATTCGCTTTGGCCCAGTTTTCTCATTTTGCATTGCATTCTTGCCTTTGTTTTGCTTCGCTTCCAACAAATCCGCAGACCCATCCTCATCATTATTATTGCCATCTGCAAAACAACCACACGCTGCAGACACCCCAGCGAGCAGCCCCGGATTAACCACGAGCAGCTCGACGCAGGGCCAACCGCTGACTCTCAACACAATGACGTACCGAGACTGGTGCCAGCTCTTGATCGACCGCGATCGTGATCTAGTTCATGTATTTTGTCTAATCTCGGGAGAGATTCTGCACGTCTCCCATGCGTGTCTCGCCACGCTTGGTTACAGCACACCTGCGGAGGTGCTGCAACTGAATGCCTTGCAGTGGATACATCCTGACGACTTGGACTCGGTCATGGCGCATGTCAAAACGGCCATGCTGGAGCTGCTATCCGTACAGGAGAGTCCAGACGCTGTCGACCTTGCCCGGCAGCAGGACGGCGGCGTTGCAGGAATTATCTTCCCAGCATCACGATCTGCGTTTGTGGATTTGTGGTACCGGTTGCGCTCGAAAAGCGGGAGCTATCAGCAGCTCCAGGTTCGTGCACGGCTTGTTCTATTTCCTGGCAGCGGCGCACCAATGACAGGGTCGGCTGAACAAACGACCGGGCATCCATCAACTGGCATCTCTCCGCGTTCCAGCGCAACTCCTAGCAGCGGCGCACGTTCGTCTCCCGCAGAAACATCATCAAGCACTTCCTACATGCACGGACCTTTGACGCGAGCAGAGCCGACCCTGGTGCTCGTTGCGCTCGGCCGACCCATGGGCGTTCAGCAACACAAACCCGACCCGCAGCCCGGAACGGGCCAACCCATCACGGCATTCACGAGTCGGTTGAGCTTGTTTGGCATCTTTGAGTACGTCTCCTCTCTCTGCAAGCCGCTCGTTGGCTTTGGTGCTGAAGAGCTCATCGGCCAGTCCATCTACCTGTTTTGCCACCCCGACGACGTGCTAGCCTTCTCTCAAATGCTCGGGCGCGTGCTTGGCAATCCGAACGCAACCGACGTCGTTGTCGTGCGTTTCCGGTTTGTGACCAAGGAAGGACCGTACGTCTGGATGACGACAAAGATGCACGTCAAGCTGAATAGCGTGACCCAAGCTCCCGAGTGCATTGTGTGCTTGAACACTCCATTGCTGGATGCAAACGCTGCGACGGAATCCGGTGCGATGGCTGCCCCGGCCTCGTCTCGCTCCAAACCGCTGGAGCAGCACATTCCAACCCCCTCGGATCACCATCTTCCCGGCAGCGCATCTTCCATGGCACTGTCATTTGGCTTTGACCCTCACATGACACAGGGACTACTCCAGCCAACGCTCTCCAACAATAACAACAACCAGCCATCGCAGTCAACATCGTCTTCTTTGTTGCTTGCACAAGCCCAAGCACTCCAGGCGTCTCAACTCGGCAACCCGACAGCAATTCAAACCCTACAGCAACAGCAGCAACAGCAGCAACAACAGCCTCATCACCCCCATCACCTCCAACACCAGCAGAAAGTAGCACCAAGCCAGTTTTTCAACACTCCACCCAACCAAATAGCCGACACTTCCAAGGGACAGCCTGCTGTGCATGCCACGGTCTCCCAATCAAGTCTTATGCCGCAACCCTTCCCAACGACTGGGCCGCCCGAACACATGCTGAGCGGGCTCTCGTCGTTCGGTCTGGATGTGAACTTTTTCGAGCCCAATTCGGCCCTGTTGGACGAGGCGCTGAACCTGAGCGTCCGCAACAAGGAGCTTCAAATGCAGCTGGACAAGATTGGTGTTGCGGGACTGAGCGGCGGGTTGGCGAACGGGCTTCAGCCCACTACCAGCGCGTCTGGAGCGCCAGGCTTCTCTCCCAACCCCGTTGACGAGATTCACCGAAGACAATCGCTGGCCAAAATGACCAATAGAGGGCCGCAGCGATTTATTCCGTCGATTGCCGACATTGACAAATTCTTGGTGACCCCACCTCCATACGGGAGCTATGCCGCCAATCCTGGGACTGTCTTGCCATGGGTACAGTCCGTTCAGCAGCAGCAACAGCAGCAGCAGCCACTTTCACCATTCCCGCAGCAGCAGCAGCATCAGTATCAGCCATCCCAACCACCTCAATCACTGCCACAGCAACTGCCACAGCATCTGCCACAGCAACTTCCGCAACCAGGGCAGCAGCTGCCCGACCAATTCGCGTCATTCCCTCAGGCATCTACTGCCGCCAATCCAGGACCGTCTGCAATGCGGACGCCGGCTCTGCGGATCCAGCACTTGCTCGGTGATGACACAGGAATGGCAGGGATGGAGCCACCCATGTCGCAATGGGCTTGAAGCAATGTTTTTGCCTTTTGCCGGGTTGATTTTGTGTCGCGTTGTTGGCAGAAGTCACGAAAGATTATTATTACATGTTTTTTGTTTTCGAGCACTCGAGTTTCCCCCCCCCCTTTTTTGCCTTGTTTGACACAACCACACTTAACGCAAAAAATTGCAACAGTTGTGGAGATTGAAGGGGAAGCACATCTACCAATAGTACCAACAGTATGCATTCGCATTGCACAAACACAGCAGTCACCACAAGTTCATGCAGCAGCCTTGCGTTCTCGCCTGCTGTTGTTGCCAAGCAATATCAAGTTCTGCACGGCGGAAAGCGTGGATGCATCGTTCTGAGCAGTGATGAGATTGTTGTCGATGACAACGTGGACGGAATCGCTTTTCGCGGCAGAATAACAGGCGCCGTTGTCTCGCAGAAAGTCTTCGAGCAGGAGCGGTTGCTCGGCAAGCAGCGTCGTGCGGGCGAGTTCGACATTGGATGGCTGTTGGAAGGGCGACAGACGTACATGTCATCATGCCATCGTCCGCAGCATATTAGCGTCCTCATATCCGTCGCACAACAACCACCAAACGCAATATCGACACAGGACGGCGGCGAACGAAATTACACCAGCGTTTTGTTTGACTTACAGCAGTCATGCACCGTCCGGCGAACTGCCAGTCTGCGCCCTTGTTTCCAAGCAACGCACTTGCACAGAGCACAGATACACCCAATCCCACGGCACAGATGAGCTCTGTCGACAAAACAGGTACAGCGAGAGATGAGCGCCCAGAAAGCAATTCAGTCACACAGACCCCGATCGCCAAAACTAAATCCCCAAGCGCCGCGTACTTTTATCGCGATCGAACGCCATTGCCAAGTGCGCCACAGCAGCATTGTGCGGGAGATCCGTGATGGTGCCGGCGCCTCCGGGAATGAGCAGCGCGGCAAACAGGGTCAGATCGAGCGACTCGACGGCGACCGGGACCGCGGCTGGCTTGGCGAGAAAGTCGTCGAGCCATCGTCGCGAGTTTGCGTCAGTCTCTGGGAAGTGGAGCGGCCCTCCGCCGGGCGTCGCGATCGTCACTGCAAAGAGCGACGAGGCCAGCGTATACGAGTGGATGAACGAGTGCGCCGAGATGCCCAGCGCGCTCGCAGTCGTGAGCAGCAGTGCACGCTGCTGCTGTTGTGCTTGTGGCTGCGATGATGGAGTGGACGGCTGCGTCGGAGGCGACAGCGACGTGGCTGGCGATGCCATGATTTTTTGAAATTGGGATTGAATTGGCACCCCCACACACACGAGAACTGGACTGAGGCTTGTCCGATCGAGTAGAATAGTGTGCTTGAGTCGTGATATTTGGAGCAATGGAGGGGGGGGGGAATGAAAGTGAAATCGTCGCAGAACCAACCAAAAAAAAAAAACAAAAAAAAGCTCCAGAACAAAAAAATGAGCATCCAGAGTTTCGATCTCCGTACCTTGTCGGTGTTAACGACATGCTCTACCAAATGAGCTAGACGCCCTACTAGATGAATGTACTCGTGGGCCAAACGGTAGATGAGAGCAGAGTGAACTTGGTTGTTGCAGAAATGCTGAACAACAGAAACCTCAGCACAGAACAGCCCTGGGGAACAACAGACACGACAATCAAGCCAAGCCAAAACTATACCTGCCCACAACTCTTCCCCGATCTCGATCTACGTCCGTTCAACACACAGGGGTTTTTTTTCTTTGAAGAAAAAGTACACGTTTCTGTATTCCTGAAAACCACGCTACTATAGGGTATTTCGCACAATATCACTCAGGCTCGTCACGGTTGAAAGCCCAGAGTCGCCAAAGGGAGAGGACATTGGGCCGGAAGGGGCCGAAAACTCGTCATTCGCCAAGCCGCCCTTGACGCCCTTGAACGGCTCCTTGAAGTCCACGTCGCAGCCGAGGTCACGCAACGCGGCCTTTGCGGCATCATCACATTCCAAGGAAACGAGGCGCGCCTGGCGCAGGAGCTCTTCGGCTCCGTTGTCAAGGAACGGCTTGCGCAGCTCTGGTGATCGCGAGACGAGGTTTCGAATGGCTTGAGCGACGCTTCGCTGCACTCGGGCTGCCTTCGGGTGGAGCGTGATGGCTGTGAGGAGTGCGGAGATGCCCGGAAAGGCGGTAGCGGAGTCATCGTGGTTTGCGCTTCCGTTCGCTTCCCGGGAGCGCAAATCACCGCCAATCCCTCGGCAGATACGCTCGGAGTTCTCGGGACTGCGAAGGGCTAACGCAGCAAGCGACGCAGAAATGGCATCTTGGACGGCCGGCACCAACGGATGCCGGTTCATGCACTCAATCAACAGCGGAATGAACGTCGCGGATTTGCCCAGGGCTGCTTTGCACTTGTCGTTGCCAGCAAGCGCTTTGCCCAGCACGGCAATGCTGCGCGCCACTGACGTGTTGGCCTGTGCGTCTGCAGCGAGCGTGTCTTCGAGCAAGCCCGCCACATTCCCGTCCATGAGCTGCTCGCAAAACTCATTCTTGACGGCAAGGCGCGCGAGTGTGCCAGCAATCTCAGCTCGGAGTGCTTGCAACCGGGCATCCGACGCCGCCTGGTGCTTGGCGGCCGCAACGGCAACAGCCATCAGCGCCTCCAGCGCGCCAGCCTCGACGAGATCGCGGCAGTTGTCGTGCGCTCGGGAAATGTCACCGCGTTCGTCATCGTCGCTGGACAAGCAGACAATGCCGCTGCAGACGGCCAGCAGGAAGAGTGCAATGTCAATGCCCAGCTCGGCATTGTCGGCAAACGCCACCAGCGCGTCGCGTCCCGCGCGCAAGGTGCCGACCAAACAGCCTGCAAGCTGGAACTCGAGCATGTACCGCACACGCAGCTCCTCGTTGTTCATGCAGCTGACGACCAGCGCGTTCATGGCGTCGCGGAGGGACGGCAGCAATGAGCTCAGCGCTGCATGCTGGCCGACCTCGGTGGACGACTGTAGCAGCAGCGTTCGACCATCCTCGACAAGCTTGACCAAGAGTTCGGCAGCGCGATAGTCGATCTGCTCTCGCCGCGTCGGCATGTATGCGAGCGCCCGAACGAGGGACTGCAATGCCAACGCCCAGCACGCGAGTCCGTTCGGAGCGAGGTCGCGGACAGCCTGCAGCTTGGTGAGCACCTTGACGAGCGTCGGCGCCGTGCTGACCGTGTACGACACGAGCATGCCCTGTTGGCTGTCCAGCAGGTCGTTTGCCGTTGCCAGCACCAGAGCGTCATGGAGCTGCTCGAGCGCCGGCTGCAGCTTGTCCAGATTCAGAGCGGCTCCGTTGCTGCTGCTGCCATTGCTGCTGTGGTAGTCGTACTCGGCCGCAGCGAGCACCGCCGCGAGAACTGACACTGCGCGTCCGATCGCGTGCTCCTGCGGGCTGGCTGTCAGCAGATTCGAGTGGTCCCGGATGCCCTGCGACACGAGCTGCGCCAATGCATCCGTCACTGCCTCCTCGCGGCTCATCTCAAACTCGTCCATGTTCTCGCGGACGAGCTCGTCAAACATTTCCTGCGACGCTTTCAGCACAGGCATGATATCGACGTTCTCAAAATGTACAGTAGATATCCTGTTGTCCTGTTGAACGCTCTGTCAAAATGAAGAGTGAGTTGTGTTCTGCTAGCTCGACTTGGACTGCACATAATGTACATTGAGGTGCTGAGGACCGATTTCCAATGCAACCTCTATTTCATTTCAATCTCAGATCCTCAGTCTTATTCAAACATCATTTCTTAGCAGCATGTTTGCACTGAACGCTCTGCGCACTGCCATCCGCGTCCAGTCAGCCTTATCGCCTTCTGCCGCAGCCATCCGCGCACTCTCGACTGCCACTGCTGCCTCTGCTGGCTCGTCGGCTGCCGTCCCAGGTCTGAAAGCCCCTCTCAGTTCGAGTGATCCCGATCACTTCACTCTCTCACTCACTCTCTCACTCAACTTTGATCTCCTCCACACATCACACATCACACACCTCACCTACTCCTTGCACCATTGCACAGACGTCTCCAAGCTGAGCTTCAACACGCTGCTCGTGTCCAAGCCGACCGCCAATGTCGGCCTGGTCACGCTCAACCGCCCAAAGGCACTCAACGCTCTCTGCGACGATCTCATGAGCGAGCTCAACACGGCCCTGGAGCACTTCCACGCCGATCCCACAGTGGGCGCCATCGTCATCACTGGCAGCGAGCGCGCATTCGCAGGTCGGTCTAGGCTGTGATTTTGCTTGGGGGAACGATGCTCACTTGCTCAGACATGTCGTGCATTGTCTGAATCTCATTGTGATTCTCACCATCTTGATCTTGCATCATTTTTTTGATCTTGTTGTCTCTGTTCAGCCGGCGCTGACATCAAGGAAATGCAGCCGCTGACCTACTCCAAGTGCGTCAACACCAACTTCCTCGCTCACTGGACGCGCGTCGCAGAGTCGCGCAAGCCCATTCTCGCGGCCGTCAACGGCTTTGCGCTCGGCGGTGGCTGCGAGCTCGCCATGATGTGCGACATCATCTATGCCGGCGAGAAGGCACAGTTTGGCCAGCCCGAGATTCTGCTCGGCACCATTCCCGGCGCAGGCGGCACGCAACGCCTCACCCAGGCCGTGGGCAAGAGCAAGGCGATGGAGATTGTCCTCACTGGCGACAAGTACTCTGCCCAGGAGATGGAGCGCGCTGGCCTGGTTGCCCGCGTCTACCCCGTCGAAACGCTGGTCGAGGAGGTTGTCAAGAAGGCCAGCAAGATTGCCTCGCTCTCCAAGCCCGTTGTCCAGCTCTGCAAGGAGGCTGTCAACGCCTCGTACGAAATGACCCTCAAGGAGGGCACTCACTTTGAGCGTCGTCTCTTCCACTCGACTTTCGGCCTGAAGGACCGTGCCGAGGGCATGACTGCGTTTGTCGAGAAGCGTGGCGCCAAGTTTACTGACGAGTGATGGCACCCAGAGTGGAGTCGCGCTGTTGTTTTTGGCCGGGAGCAGCAGTCGGATGATTTTGACATTCTGCTGCTTTCCGGCGGAGTGTCTCTCTTTTCCGCAACATCCCTTTTTGCACTTTCATTTCTTGATTAGAAAAGCCTTGTACTCTTATTGTGCTTCCAAAGTGGATCTGAGTTTGTGTGTCTGAGTCAGTCAGTTCACCTTTTTGCTCTTGTTTTGCTCAATGTGCTAGCGGTGACGATGGCGGATGCACCCCTGCCGACGTTTAAGCCTGCTCTGATAGAAAAGATCTTTGAGCAATCGTGGGGCGGTCGCAAGCTGCGCAGTGAGTTAGTGTGGATTTTTGGCGGGAAAAACAACCCGGCCATACATTGAAAAACACAACGTCCGTCCATCCCTCTGTGCGTCCATCCACTCTCACTCTGATCATTGATCTGTTTGACACATAGCTGCCTCGGACAGCACACGACTGACGGCCGAGTTCATGCGCGTCTTTGTCATTGGTACAGCCTGCTTCTCTTGCAATGGAGTTTGCGTGTGTTTGTGTGAATGACCTTTTTTTTTGCCGTTTCCTCACTGTTCGTGCTCGGCTGCGGCGCGATGATGTGAATGGCATTTGGTGCTTGGCAGAAGCCATGGGGAGAGCCGCAAGTGTCGCCAAGGCGGAGGGCAGCGACACCATCGAGCCGCATCATCTTGAAGCAGTTTTGCCAGAGCTCCTGCTCGACTTTTGACTCGCACAGGATTCATATGGCGATGATGATCAAACCTAGCACTCTGGAGAGCAGTTGCAGTGTATGTTCCTTTGCTCAGAAGCCAAGCATTCAAGATCAAGTTCAAAGTGAATCAAAGATTGTTTGAATGAATTGAATTTGCACCTCTGCAGTTATCATGTAACCTACAGAGTGAGCAGCTGTTGTACACCACATGAACAAAGCAACTATATGTCATCGTCATCGTCAAGCGATGTCGAGTCTGTTCGTTGAAGCTCGGACAGCCCGGATTGAAGCTGCAGCAGCGCCAAACGATTGACTTCGTCCACCAGCTCGTTCACAACCCGCGCCTGCTGTGCAGCAGTGACGTGCTGCTGCACTTTTGCTTCGGACAAGAGTGCAAGCGTTCGCTGCTTCCAGTCGTTCAACGGCACTGCTTCGACAAGCTGTTGCTGCTGCGGAACTCCACTTAATTGCGTCGCAGAGATTGAAGCTGAAGCTGAAATAGTTGACACTTGGCTATTTGACGATGGCAGGATGCCAAGTGTCTCAGAAGCGCTGCCTCGCTGCGGCGTCGGGATTGGCTCCAAAGCACCAGCAGCAACTGGAGCGGACTGATGATGAGTGCTGCCACTCGCCGCCATTCGGAATGCTTGGGCCAGCTTGGCAAGTGGACTTGTACCAACTTGTTGGCTTTCATCCGCAACCAGTTTTTGCAGGATACGAGCGCGGTCTTGAAATTGGAGCAACAGACAGACGCCAAACGCCAATCGCTGCTGCAACGCGAGCACTCCCGCTCGGACGTTCGCCTCACCGCGGATGGCTCGTGATGCTGTCTCTGCGTCGACCAAGCCAGGCTGACAAAAGCACATGCACACACAGATCAGTTCAACGTGAAACAGTGCGCTTTTTCCCGCCAGCTTTTCCGATTCTCGCGGTTTTTTTTTTTTTTTTTTTTTTCGTTTCGCATGTCGCTCTTTGCTCCATCTCTCATTCATACCGCGTTTCGATGCCTTGCGTTGATACTTGCGAGAGTGTCGAGGCGCCGTCGCTGTGCGAGCAGCGTCTTCTTGACAGCGACAGACTCGTCAAACAGAGACACCATGGCAGATTCGCATGCTATTGTATTGTGACAGGTGAGGGGAGTTTCTGAGAAATTTACACTTTGCTAACAATGGTACGTACCGAGTGCCATGGAAAGTCCGTCAACCCCAGAATCGTCCATTGCAACCAAGCTGGAATGAATGTTTGAACTCCAAATTGTAACAAAATTTGAAGTGAGGCGTTTTCGGATTCGGAAAGAACATCGCGCTCTCTCTCAAAAACAAGTCGTCTTTACATATCAGAATCACAACAAACAGAACGACACAATACAAGGAAACAAGCACCAAAGCAGAACGCCAGCTAACTTTCATCAAAAACAAAACAAAAAGTAGATCAACATAACTTTTCTACACAAAAACTCTAGCGCGCAGGGCGTCATACCCGGTTGAGGCAGTCAACAGTGATAATTTTGCTCAATCCAAGACCGAGCACATAGGCCGCCACTGCGGTGAGCGCCACGCTAACAAGCGCCAGGCAGCACCGGCGCCACCACGGTTCGTGCGTATATCTGGCCTTGATGGCACCTAGAATGCCAACTGCTATTGCTGTGGCAATCACCGTTATCAAGAAACTGCCGTTGAAGCCGCTCCACGAGATTTGGCTGAAGACCAGGAAGGAAATGAGTGGGACGGATCCAAACAGAATGAAGGACAGCGCTGCAATCACACCTGGGAAGACAGCCCATCCAAACCAACAATCACGGCAAGACAGGAAGCAAAGTAGAAGAACAAACAAACAACACTGGTGAGCATGGGCACGCGACGACGTTGACCTTGCATCACTCAGCTGGTGCTTACCATTTCGGCAGGGGCTTTCCGCAAGAGATGGAGGTAGGAGCCCAAGCTCTTGGACCAGCATGTGGTCGACAAAAAACTCCTTGTACCGCGCCATAATTCCAATCACGCTGGTGGCGTCTTCATCGCTAAATCCATTCTCCACATAAATCTCGACCATTTCTTGCAGTTCGCCTTCTGGGTGGTTTTCAAGTTCCCTACATGTTTTTTTCCCACAAGTCGCAAAGCACACGTATTCACGGCATTGTGAGCACTTGAGATGATCTGGATGGCGACACGGATAGCTCCATCGCCAAGAGTTTAGTGCTTTGAATGGATGTTACCATTCTTCACGCAATCGCTCGCGCTTGATATACTGCAGTTCGGCATCCTCGCTCAGATAGATGCCAAATCCCATCGAGATGCCGCTTGCCAGCTGGACTGCGACGCCCATGACGAGGACGACGCCCCAGCCATACCCCGCGCCGACGACCACGCAGATGAGTGCGAACGAGATCGCCACGCCGTCCAAGCCAGCGCCAATCACGCTCTTGATGTGTCGATTCGTGCTCCTGCAAAAGAAAGCCAACCAGCAAGTGAGTCAGAGAAGAGCAAAAGTCAGCTCTCACTGGGTACTTGAGCAGCGCATGGAAGCAGTGTGAAAGCGGGTTCAATGCCAATGCACAGCCACTCAATCCACACCAAAACCCCAGCACAACACCACGAAGCAGGAGAGCAATGAACAGCAGAGAAAAACACACTCGTTGTTGCGCTCCGAGATGCCAGAGTGGGAGATGCGGGAAAGCTCGACATCGCGGGTGGCAAACGCGGCACGAGCGCCGTTCAAATCGCGATGTGGCATTGGAACAAAACAAAAAGAATGGTGCCGAATGCTCAAACTAAAAGAAGGAATGGAGCAACAAAAGAGCTTGGGTGGACGACAAGCGATGGATGGGATTGGAAAGCGAAGAGCAAAGAGCAAAAAGTTCTGCGACAAGCTGGTCCGATCTCTGTGTGACAAACAAAATCCATCAATCTACGCGTTGCATGTTGTTCTACATGAGCATTTGTGTAGTTGTGTTTTGCATACCAGATCGTGGGATGGATCGCGCAAAAGGGATTTGGATTGGCTTCGAGATGTATTCGTCACGAGAGCCTCACACAAAACATTCACAAGCACACACACACACACACGCACACACACACACACAAAACACAAGCACAATGGCACCAGCATGAACAAACACATGCTGCAGCATGTTAACGGAAGGGGGCAAAGGAGCAGAGAAAGGCGAGCAGAATGAAAGAGAAAGGCGAGCAGAATGAAGCAAACGCGACCTTGTCGCATTCTCATTGCGCACTTTCAATGTGCTCAATCGGACTTGGGAGCAACAGCCTCAACGTCCTTGGCAGACTCGGCCTTGCCGGCATCGTCCTTGGCGGCCTCGTTGGCGTTGTCGACCTTGGCGTCGTCGATCGCCTTGGCTTCTTCAGCCTTGGCGGCCTTGTCCTCCGCCTCGGTCGTCTTGGCGCCGTCGGCCTTGTCGGCAGACTCTTCCAGACGCACAACCTTGGTGGCGGGCGAGGCCGGAGCCTCAGTCACAGCGTCGTTGGTCGCTGCTGTTTCGACAATCTTGTCGCTCTCGATCGTCTCGTCCTGCGAGCGCTTCTCGGTCACGCGCTCCTTGACCTCGGTGGGCTCGACGGGGGCGACGGCAACGTCAGTGGCAATCTGTTCCTGGTTCTCGACGGGCACTGAGCAGAGCGCAGATGGGGGAACGAACAGAAACACGGTGAGCTCATCGTTTTTTTTTTTTTGGTTTGTTTGTTTCGTTCATCTTGTTTGCATGCAAGTTGAAAGTTTGAAACAACAGAACAGCGTCCGACCTCGCTCGTTCGCCTTGCAACCAATGTCAACACATGCGTAATGATCGGGATATTGAAGTTTTGGAGGAAGGGAGGGTGGCAGGGCGATGCGGGAGGAGAAGGAGGAAGGCGGCGAAAACCCAAAAATGGGTGCACGCCGAACAAAAAAACAAGCAAAAGAGCACATCGCGTTTGTCTCTGCGCCGAGATGCGATGGTGCTGATGCGACCAGCGTATGGCAGTGTCAACCAAGTTGAACGCGTGCACGATCTCGTGCTTGCAGTGTGCATGGCATACATGGGGCCGCTCGACTTTGGAAAAAAAAAAAAAAAAAAAAAAGGTGGAGGGAAGGTTCTAGATTCACAAACTCACTGGTTGTTTTGTTTGAGTGTGGCTTGAATTTGCTTTGGCAAAATGGCAAAATGGAAGAGTGAATCCAAATCCAAAACGGGAATTCAATCCAAATCAAGATCGAAAATCAAGATCGAAAATCAAGATCGAAATCAAAATGAAACGCCGTTCCAAAACGAACAGATTCGCCCTCTCTCCCCCACAATCGATTTGAAAGAATCCGCTGAAGTACACACATTTGTTATTGAATCAAGCAAAAAAATGACAATCGAGGATGGACAGCACCAAAAGTAGAAAAGGCCAAGCAAGACTACTGCTTTAAACATTTCGCCAACCACCCCAATCAACCATCACAAAACGCGCAATTTGGTTTTAACGCTTGGGGACGAACGATCGGGCATAGGTCTTGGCCTCGTCGGAAACCTCGCCGTGCTCCTTCTTCATGTATGAAGGGTAGTACTCGCGAAGCATGGCGACAGTGCGCTCAAAGTGGCGAGGGCTCATCTCGTAGAGATCGGCGTGCTACAGAGATGACGAGCACACAGGACAAGAACGATGCGAGGGGGGGGGGAAAGGGTAGGTCAAGTGAGAAACAAACTCAATGAGAAACAATTTTGGCGAGAACGACTCACTGTCATCTCCTCGACAGGCTTGAGCTCAGCAATCTGCTTGAGCTTGGCGTCGATAGTGGCAATGTCCTTCTTGGAGTCGGCCACCAACGAGGCAGCGTCTTGATCCTGCAAAAGGGTAAAAGAGGCAAAGAAATGAGTGGACATTGCAAAACAATGACATTGTCGCTGTTGTGTGCTTGCGCGGGCAGCCGTACCCAAGTGGCCTGGCCGTCGATGGTGATCTTGGTGGTGGAGGGAGTGGCCTGGAAACGATCGTACTCGGCCTTAGCGGTGGCGACGAGGTGGGGATCGAATCGGTCGAGAATGCTCTTGTAGTGATCGAAATCGATGGAGGGCTTGGTCTCAGCGGGCACCTTCTGGGCACTGTTTGGATGTTCAAGCACGACGTTGACGTTGGTTGTTGAGAAGGGGAACGCGGTGAGTGACAGAGAGAGAGAGTACAGTCCGTGTGATGCTATGAAAAATGGAGGATGCATGGCGCCCGTCGTCAGACCGCCGCGCGCACCCGTGTGCCAGCCACTCTGCGTCGACTGAAGGTGACTGTGCTCCGAGCACCCGATCTGCAGCCATCAAGGCAAAGCCGGATCACGAAAGGGGTGAAGAAAGAAAAAAAAAAAGTGGCGATCTGCTTTTTTTTTTTTTTTTTGAGCTTGCTGTGGCTCTGATCAAAGCCTCGGCTGGTCTACATCGGCCTCAGACCTGAACGAGCCGTAACGCAACGTCTGCGCAATGCCAAACGTTGGCATTCCAAGCCCAGGGAGCACCGGCAGCACTCCAACCAAAGCCAAAGGAAAACCAAAAAAAAAAAAAAAAAAAAAAAAAAAGAACAAAAAAAAATCCCCATCTGCATGTGTGTCCATTGACTGTTGCGCTTTCGCCCAGTGGCTGCGAGAGCGCGACCCAAGTAGACATGGTGACAGCGAACATCATGCCAACACAGATCGGTTGGTAGGGGCAGAGAGGCAGGGAAGCGACAGTTCGCCATTTCTCTCTCTCTCTTGCTCTCTCTCTCGCTCGCTCGGCTCAAGGTCCTCTGATTGCCGGGGCAACGTACCGGGCAACAATCTCGGACTGGGCAGCGACGAGCTTGGTGGCAGCACGGGCCGTGAAGGGGTGTGCGGCGAGGCGAGCAACGTCGAAAACCTTGAGGCTCTTGAGAGCTGGGTGGGCCATGGTAACAAGTGGGAAGCGGGGGAAATGGACTGCACTTGGCTGGGTCGCTCAGAAGCCTCCATGCATTCATTCGTGCTCTTGGCTGTTCTTGATCTGCTGGGATGAGATTGATCGAAACTGAAGCGACGCGAAAAACGCCTCTCAGATTGTCAAACGAACAATCGATTGTCGCCTGCTTCATCCCGTTCCCAGCATCTTCACACAGTTTTTCGTATATCACTTTTTTGAATGGAATCACGGCAGCTTTGTGCGCTGACGCAATGTGCACCAAGCATGTATCCGAGTTTGGAGTGTCTCGGCTTGTTTTTGAAAAAACAAAAAGCTGACAGTCATTTTTATATCTCTTCAGTTAAAATCCTGCACCCGCTTCATCATGGCCGAGCCGTCGCACCTGACAGACGTATGTTCTCTCACCGAAAAGTTATGAGCGAACGGAATAGAGTCGGGCGGGCACGCTGTTGACAATGTTCTGACAACGCTGGCTACTTTTTTTGCGTTCTTTCCCTTGACTTGCAGCCTCTTTGGCCAGACGTCGACCCGAAGGCAGAGAAGTCAGCGCAGTTTGTTCTTCAAGATCACCAACATCTCCACCGCCTCTGCATGAACTCGCTACCCTCTCCTTTCAAGTTGATGGAGAGTGACTATGTTGAAACTTCGCCAGGCTCTGGCGTTCTGCAGCATTGTACGTGATTTTTGTTTTGGCTCCTTTCGTTTTTGGAGTTCGTTTTGGAGAGAGGTCGCAATCCTTTCACTTTCTTTCCGTTGTTGATTTCTCAGATGCAAACGGGAGTTCGAAAACTGTCGGGTTTTCGGTGGTGGTGCCGCATCCAACTAACGACCGAATATCACCATTCTGGAGGTTAATGCGCAAGGCATCCTGCTGTTTTGTGGCACAAGAGCAGCAGTTTGCTCAAACGAAGCTCGGATTCTCGCGCAGTCTGGATGAGAATTGGCTTGCTGGTGGCATCGTTCATTACGTTGTGCATCCCACCGTCGCAGATATGACCATCGCAGAGTTTCAAGCCGAGTTGCTCGCTCTATTAGCACCCAGTGCGGCGTTGGCATGGGCAGTGACAGTGGGTTGAGTGGCTCTACGTCCGCACTCAGTATTGGCGGTTCCAGCACCGTTAGTGGCAAGACAATGGACGCCATGACGATCGCAGCCGCGCCGAACTGCATAAAACCAGTTTTGGCCGCTCTTCGAACGCACGTCAGTCAGTGCGCCAACGTTGACCCGACTCGAGCTCTCGTCAGCAGCATGGTTCACGACAACTTGGCTCTGCGCCAGTTTTCTCTCGACGACGCCATGAAGCATGAGGATCTTTGCTGGTATCTCTACTGTGCTACTTTGCAAACAACTTTCTCACTGGGAGCACTGCATTTTCTAGCCCAGGTCAACGACTTCCTGGTTGAGTGCGCTGAGGAATTTGGCTTTCCAAGGTAAGGTCGTCTGTGTTGTCTGTGTTGCAATTCTCGATGGATCTTCGCTTCTTGACTTGTTTGTATTTTGCTGGACAGCGCTGAAGTCAAGACCGACAAGCCGAGTCATCCTGCTTCTTCTGAGCCCACGATGCGCACCTAAGCCGGTCCCGGAGGAGAACGGCCGTGAGTACAGTATGTTGTGTTCCTGGGATCCATAGCCAAACACCCACAGCGCTTGCTCGAGTTGGTCTTGCACTGCCACCACACCATTTGGCAAGTATTGTTGGTGTCACTGCTGCTCAGCGACGCGGCGGCTGAGGCGATGCATGCGTTGTTGTCTGTCATCGTTTATACAAAAGACTTGGTCGCCTTGCAGGAAGAAGTGCGACGATTGGCTTCAGAGCAGCGGCAGCAAGCGCAACCAGCAGTATGAAAGGTGCAAAGAAATGTTGTGCTTTCACTCTGGATACCAAACGCCTAGTGCATTGAATGTATGAAATGGATTCGTTTGGTCGAGAATAAGTGCTTTATACAAATGGAGGGGGGGGGGAAAAGGCTGGGGTGACAGCGGAAACAGGGCAGTAAAACGAAATCTAGAGCACGATAGATACAAAAGAAAATGAGCAGCGATCGAAAAGTCGGAAGAATAGAGAAGAGGAACAAAAGCAGAGGCCGGACAACAGCATGTTGATCAAAGAACCGAGGGAAGGGTTGATCAGAGTCAAGGAAACTCCCTGCAACAAAACGAGTTTGCTTCGATCGACGTATTCTTCCCTTCGCTTGAACGCCAAAACGAAATCCGTGCCACTAGGAAACAGGCAATACGGAGCGTCTTCGACAAAGGGAGCGGGAAAGGAAGCGGAAGGAGTGCGACCTGCCGATCTGGACTCACAATGATCATTTCTTGTGGATGGCAGGAATTGGCCTTGTAAGGTTTCTTGGATGAGGACGAAAATCTGTATCAAACAAATGTAGGCACCGGGTTGCGATCGTTAACGACCTTGGAAGCGTTTCACAATCTTTGATACGGGCCTTGGTGATTTGCCCCGACCGAAAAAAATGCACCAACGCCGTGTGATTACGAGGAGTGGTGTTGTATGAAAAGTCGGGGGGTGGAGGGATGTACCAAGGGTTGGGAGATGGCTCAAGTGCGCTCGTTTACCTTTCGAATGGGTCGAACACCTTGTCAGCGACGAGAAAACCAACCATCGAAAGCCTACAAAGAGATCAAGGAAAGAGCGTCAACGATAAATGAGAGACAAGTTCAATGTACCAAGAAAATAACAAAAACAACGGAAGGAGGAAAAAAAAAATGTCAACAGAGTTTTTGCGGCATGTCGATTGGTTGTCAACATGTTGCCTGTGAAACTCTGCTGTTTGCTTTTCTCCCCAAGCGTACAAGATTGCCACGCATAGAATGCAAGTGCAAGCAAGTAATTGTAACGGGGAGGTGGTGGCGAAATGAAAAAAAAAAGCAAAATGAAACTCACCATCAACATCACTGGGACAAGGCAGCGGCCGCGTTGGTGCGACGGCAAAAGTTGAGTTCTTGGACAAAGCTCAAGAGATTTCGACTGAACGAGAGTGCATCCTGGACGAAACAACAATGTAAAAACGCAATGAGCAAAACAAAACAAAAAACCCAAAAGCAAACCGCAAACGGCATGAAAGTCATACCTGCTCACGACCGGCAGTGGCAACCAGGTCGGACTGCTGCTCGTCTGTAAGGCCGTCGCATTGTGACACGAACATGGGAAGAAATTCCTCGTAAAACCCCGTAAAGTGCTGTCGCGTCATTTCGAAAATGGCCGCGACAATCTCATCAGCCAGCACAGACAAGGAACGCTCCGTCAGAGTGCGCAGAAGCGCGTCAATGACAATGAAGCGCAGGGGTCCAAAGGCGGGCGTAGAGTAGAGGGAAGTCTTGAGATTCATGTTTTCAAGCAAAGCCAAGTTGCGTCGGACCAAGTCAATGTCGGGGCGGGAGAGCGACCAGACAAACATGTCGAAAATGACGGGAAAGTCCGTGGACGCCAACAAGCCCTGGTGCCACACCACAGCCGCTTCCAAGAGTTCAAAGAAGGACGTGTGCACGTCAATGATCGGGGCTTCACTGAGCGCGGGGAACAGGTTTTGCATGCAGATGGACAGAATGAGCGGCAAGGCGGCGCGCGAAATGCGGGACGAGCTTTCAACAATAAACTTGAGAATGCGAATGTACCGCTCGGCGGTCTCGTGCTCGCTTGCATTGTTGCTCTGCAAGACAGGGAGCAGGCGCTCGCAGGTAAACAGCGCACCACCGAGGAGCACGGTTTGCTCCACCAGCTCTTGGCTCACTTGGGCACGAGCGCAGCCATAGTACTGCTCTAAAAACTGCACGGCCGCCGCAACAATCTTGGGTGAGTCCGAGCATGCTTGCAGCAGCTGAAGCACGTAAGGCAAGAGGGGCTCAATGTGCGTCAAGAGCACCTTGCGAGTGGCGTTGCTGACACTCGAGTTGAACTCGTTGAAAATGCCGCCAACCATCGCGAGCGAATCCAGCACTGTCGTGACGGCTTCGAGGGGAGGGTCGCCTCCGCTGGTGAGGTACGGCACGGCATTCATCAGGGGCTTGTAGACCTCTTGGATGAGCGAAGAATACCGGGCGTAGCGCTCAGACCACATCTGGAATTGCTCCGGCACCTCCTGGAAGGTGACGAGCAAGGTGCAGACGAGAGCTGAAACAAAGCTGGTGCGGGCCATGACATCCGGAAGACTCAGAATGAAGGCGGTTGCCTCCTCGGGCGCCTGCAGCAAGCCGAGTGTGAAGGGCGCGTCAAGAAGAGCGCGGGTTCGGACAGTGCGCGCGAGCGACAGGAAGAGCTGGGCCGAGTTGCGAATGACCATGGTGGGCAGGTTTGGCGCCAAGCACTGCGATAGTACATTGGTTGTGTTGCCAATGAGCGCCTCAAACTCGGCCAGCTGGTTGCTGTCGTTCGACTTGATGACAACAACGTTGTAGGTCGCCAGCCAGTCGGCAAACGCACGGATGGCCGCAAACAAGTTGGCCTGAATGTCAATCAACACAGGATGTTGCGTGTAGACACCCAAGGTTGCTCCGATGGCCGTCAATTGCAGCACATTCTGCAAAAATTCGCCTGCCATGCCGAATCGCTCGACAAAGATGCGTTCCGAGTCGGCGTTGTGCGAGTGGAACAATTCGCTCAAGCTGCCAAACAGTCGGAGCAAGAAAGGAAGGTCTTGGAGCAGCGGCAGCACTTCAAGGAATCGAGCGCTCTGTTGATCCAGCCGCGGTCCTAGAAGAATGTTCCAAACAAAAGCAAAAAAAAAAGTCAGCAAAAAGCAAAGATACTGGTGAAAAATAGGGTAAAATAGAGGGGGGGGATGTTGGTCTGGGAGGTGTGGCAACGAGGTCTACCAAGGTACCACGTCACACAATCATATTCCGCAGATCGGCTCCAACAGTGTCAATGCGAAGCTCTTTTATTCTGCCATTCCGCACAACGGGAGAGTAATCTAGGGATGTTGTCCCTTACGCTCTGCCGGTGTTAATGGAATGGCTCAAGGGGGGGTGGATGTGAAGAACGGGAGAGAAAAAGAACAAGAGGGGAGGAGTCGAGAAAACGACAGTTTTACCTTCGACAGATTGGACCACCATCTCTTGTGTGCTGGAAAACGCGCCAAAGCATTGCAAAATGGTTGGGAACTGCGGCGGAGAAAGACAAAAGAATGAGTTTCGAAAAGAGCAAGGCGGAAAAGACAAGACTCCAAGAAAAAAAAACATAAGAAAACACATACCACAATCTCGAGAACTTCGTTGGGGAAGAAATCGGCAATGCGCGCGAGAAGCTCGATGCTGGCGCGAAGACAGTCTTCCCACAGTGGCACCTCGTCCTCGTTCGTGTTGGAAAAGTCCGCCTCGTCCGACTCTTCGAGAATGGCTCGCAACTCGACCGCGTTCGTCGTGAACGAGGTCTTGTGAAGAATCAGCCGGAGCACCTCCATCAGGATGGGCTGGAAACGGAGGGCATTGACGCGGAGACCGTTTGCAGAGCGGTTGCTCATCTGCACCTTCAAAAAGTCGCAAAAGGCAGCCCAAACGTTGAGACACTCCTTGAGCTCGGTGCCATAAGGGAGAGCAAACGAAAACCGGTGCAAGAGAGCGAGCAAGCCATCGATGGGGTAGTCCATCTCCACAAAGCGAGCCGAGTGGTGGATGACGAGCAGGCGCAAAAACTCGGTGCACTGACGCAGGTAGGCAGAGTCCATATCGGCCAGGCCCTCCGCATCCGCAGTCTCGCACACCAGCGTGAGCTGGTCGCATGCGTGGGTGAACAGCGCAAGAAAGAAGTGCTGCACATCGGCGGGGAAGCACTGGCGCGAAAGCAGCTCGTTCAGGCACGTCATGGCAAGCACGCCCAGTCGTCCGTCAATCCCGTCAGCTTGCAGGGACGCAAATCCAAACAGGGACGGGAAGAAGTGTGTTGTTTGCAGATAGGA